ATAAATTCTTACATCGGTATCTATGCAGTACAATGAAAGAATTTGTTGCTTAATTGTATTCACTTTAGCAGAATAAACATATAGAGTATAGCGCAGCGGTAAGAATAATATATAAGATTTCAGGGAAATTTTTATGGGGGTGTAGTTGATTCACGATTTTGACGATATTTAAGGAAGGTCATTATTTGAAGTTATGACTTAAGTAACTTGCAGCATGTCACTCTGCAAGAGTAAAGGCATTAAAAGAAATTTTCCCTCTATGCAAAAGAAGATCCTAAGCAGATTTTTTCGCAGAGTTATGAAGCCGCAGATAGAGCAAAAATCACGACTCTAAAAAAGGATTGCAAATATTGGGGTGTCCTATAATTTATTTACCGTTTTACCTTAAACATCAGCGTTTCTCGGGAACTGAGGCACATTCAAAATTTTCAAGTACATGATCGTACTTTTGTATGTATGCGCTATATGATTACGTGTGTGAGAGGAGCTCAGGACTTCTAGGCGTGGAGTTTGCCATTTTACTCCATTAATTCTTTCTTTATTTCTAGCCATGGGAAAAATACGAAAATTGTACAGTTGAATGTTTAATGTGTTAAGCATATCCTAGTTTGAATAAGGATTTCTGAAGATTTTCTTGGGGCGGAGAAACGATTTTTGACAGTAAATAAGTGTATACAGTGTTAGATTACAAAACAGCCTGTTTCGCCTCTACCCCTATACAGGTTAGGGTATATAGTAGACCACTCCCGAGGCTCATCAGTAGGGAAGAGTGGTGATAGCAGTAATACATGGAATTGAGCTGAGGAACTCTATTTATACGCTAAGGGTAGAGCGAAAAGATCAAGAGAAAAGGAGATGAGATCACAATTTCAAAGATCATAGTAGTTTAAGTTTTTGAAACAAAAATTTAACAAATTTTTTTGTGTTTTTGAAAGAATGCAATTCAAGATATTTGGAAGAAATACTTTTGTTAAAGGTTAAGCATTTAATAAGCGCATTAGCTATCATGTTAGGCGAATATTCTAGTACCAGTAAATTTCGTTTTTGAACGTTACAATATTTCAAATCAAAATTTACGCGGATTACGATTTGAGCAGACTCTTGATAGCCATCTTGTAGAGCTTGTTTTGCCCTATTGAATTTTCATCCAAGCCGCATCAATTGGAGGAAAGATACAAAACGACGACCGTCGAAGTAAAAACGGTAAATAATTATGGGAAAGCCTAATAAGTTTAGCGTAAATTAATGAAATCGAAAGGGAAAGGTATAGGTAGACTGCACTCATCAAGAGCTTCCAAGGGATGTATAGTATGTGGGGGATCTATGTTTTTTATCCCTTGGGAGGGAGGGTGATCGGCTCACAAAGAATGGTCAGAAATCGAAGTGGCCAATCCAAACAAGCTGCAAATGCAGCATAGCTTATGTCAGCGAAGTTATGAGCCGTTAAAGGCCGTTATCTTGCTAAGAAATCGTGCATGCAAAGCACAAATTTGGCGGTACAGAGCCATGCCCGGCTTAACTCTGGGCCAAAACATGCAGCTAGGTTACTTCTTAATCTTGAAGCCTAAAGGGTGAGCTGAAAATGCAACAATGTGCTCAATTTCGCAAATTTTACGTGTTGTGCACCGCACAAGAAAAGGGTTTAAATGATTCAGTTTTCGTTAAATAACATTCTTTTCCCTTGGTGCTATTCCGAATAAACGACTATATCTATCGTCTTCATCACCGTCGTTGTGGATCCAACATTACGTACGAATATTTCGCAATAAAACCGCTTTCAATTTTGTCCACAAAGGGGCTAAGCAGATATGGAATACAAATTCGAAATCAGCGTTGAGTGCTGCATCGAATGGTAGGCAGCCTACTACGACTTCTAACCATTAATCTGTCAGTTTAACGTACTCCCTCCCAGCACCTCTCCAGTGCGTTAAAGTGGCGGCGGGTGAGCACGCATAATGAGCCGGCTCACCCCCTCTTCCAGCAGCCTAGAGGCCCCAACCCCCACATAATATACATCAATCAAAAACACTTGAGGAGACAAATTCACCTATCCCTTCCCTTTGTAGTTTACTTACTTGTACAAAAGTTATAACCGATCTCAGATGGGTTTTTTGCAGCCTCATATCTCGGCGTTGGGGGCTGAGTCTTACCTATACTCTCGCAGAGAAAATGGGTGTAGTGAAGGAAAGTCTTCGCAAGGAATAGAAGACGCTTCAAAAATACACGTAAATTTTCAATTTAAGATAGTCGGCTGCATGGAATCTCTTTGCGAGGGTATAGGTAATACTAAATGAACCAAACTCCGAAAGATGCAAAAAAATCAAATCATGAAATTTCTCCATCCCTCATCGTCTATGGGGCTCTGCATGTGGAAGGGGGGGGGGGTGGCACCGTTGGACCTCTAGAAACTGCATCACCTCGCAAAATTCTTGATCACTGTAAAATACATATCATTCGACAGCTTTTAGGGACCATGTTCCAAACCTAATTTAGTTTTGGCTTTAGCCCGTTCATACAAGAGTTATATTGGAAAAAAATTATTTTGCACGTCTTTTTGAATTTTGATGATGAACTGATTGGTTATTGGTTGAAAAGAGATAAATCGGCTATTTAATTTCAGAACACTTGTGGTGCAGTTTTTTGTAACTATGTTAGATGAGGCAAATCGAATTTATCTCGTTAATGGGAGAGCAGATGGGTGTCATTTGGTAAACAATAGGAGGAGCGTAGCTGACACGGGAGGTCCAACTAGTCGAAGTGGCCTTTCCAGATGAGTCATGTAGCTTTTTGAAGAGCATCAAATAATGATTCCAAATCTGTCTTCATTACCTGCCGAGCACCTCTGTACGCCAAGTTATGAATATTTTCTTGGTGCGAAAAATGAACGGATAATCTAAGTAAAATTGAATTTTAGGATCTTTTCAGCGTTTAAATAGAGCACTGTTGAAAATAAATGCTTTGGACAAAAGGTATTCTTGAAATGAGGTGCTCTGATAATCAACATTGGAGACTATGTAATCAATTCTGACGAATTTTCTGCTAATTATGCAATTAATTTTTCGACATAAAAAACGCTCATAACTCGACGTCCAGAGGCGCTCGGCAGATAACGAAAACAGATTCAAAATCAGCGTTTGATGCTCTTTATAGTATCAATTTCATGTGAAAAGGCCACTTCGACCAAACGGACCTCCCTTGTGAGATGCATAGTTGCATAGTCAGGCGCAGCTGACAAGGGAAGGATTCAATCGCAGTGACGTTTGAGTAAGCGGTGCATACCGCGACCGTCCCCAGACGGTAATCTCGAAACCGCACTCTATATCTGCTATGACGTAATTCTGGAAGAGCTATGAAGGATTTTGCAAAAACGCAAAACCGGCGGTATCCAATGGAAATCGAACCCACGACACTCAGCTCAGCAGTCCGAGCCACTAAACACTGCACCAGTCCACCACGGCAGTGATGAGGCAGATCTAGTACTTGAATGCGCCTGCAGCACCAAAAATCCATCATAGCTCTTCTAGAATGAATTCATAGCAGGTATGGAGTGCAGTTTAGAGATCACCGTCTGAAGCGGTATACGCGATATACACCGCTTACCCAATTGTCACTGCAATCGAGTATCCTTCCCATGTGAGATGCATCCAAAAGGTCTATAGCTTGACCTTTCGGATGCATCTCAGACATTGTTTGTTAGACAGGTGCTCTGGCATTAGTTTGGCCTTCTCGTTTAGTCACCTCTTACTTTTAAAAAACGCTTACAACGTGGCATGATTCGGCTCTCATGTCTTTACACCGTGCTTGTCATTGTACTTCCTTTCGCCCACTCTGCGGAGGAGTCCTCTTTTAAAGAATCCGAAGAACACTCAACTGTACCTCTACATTCCATCGCATTTTTCGTGGGCCAAGAAGGTTGCAAGTCTCGTTTTTCGTTTTTTTACAACACCCAACGAGATGATTTGAGGAGGCTCGTCACCAGCCTCCCGCCTAATCAGATAATCGCCGGGAAAGGGCGGTCCGCAACTTGCGCTTTTCTGCAAGTGGTCAGCGAAATTTTGCGGCGTGATCAAAACATCAGCGAGCGGTACTTCCGTGTTTTGCCAGCGGGCAGCAATTAAAAATATTCCGCAGCCCTCGTCAAATGATCTCTTTCAGCGAGCGCTGGCCCAACTTTCAGCAGGCGCTCGGACTCTTTTTAAGTAGTTTCGGGCGTACGCCGAGCAAAGTGAGACTATGTATGGCAGAAGTGTCACCAACGGTTTAATTACCTGAGTTTGGGGTACTCTCTAACGGAAGGTACCAAATGGCTGTGCGTCCTCCACAAAGGACCGTGCGGCTCTCAATAACTTTGCATATTCTCGCGAAAAGTCCACGAAAATGCGGCCAATGCTCCGCACTAATCTATGAAATACCTGCAATTGTTCTCAGAGCATTCGTCTAAAAGTTGTCCAAAATTCTTCCAAATTTCTGCAAACGAACTGCAATCAGCGTACTATTTTTCCGGTGCCCGCTTGCCCAAAAATCGCATGGCCGCCTGCCTCGGCGATTATCTGAGCAGATCACTTTGAGATCTCTCACGTCGAAGTTGCTTATCATATTTAGTGAAAGCTCAGAAAAATAAGTAAAGTACACACATTCTATTAAGTCGCAAGTAAAGTCACGTTTCAAAGACCCCACAAAGAGTAGCAAAGCATTGTGAAACTTTTCATTAACGTGACAGTACACAACATAATTACATATGTACATATATATAAAGCACCTACCAGCTAGGGGAGTCTGCGGAACCCTTTCAAGGCTGCGTGAATACCTCGCCCAGTTCGCTTGGCCTTCTTTCACTGAGTAGAGGCAGATAAGCTTAGAACGGCGGCGATCATTCCCGCAATAAATGTGACGGCTATACCAATAAAAAAGCTAAGAAGGTTCTTGCAATAGAGAAATAGTGAGTATTAAGAAATGCTGGTAAAGCTTACTTGGCAAAAGGACTTCTTTGATGTTCTTCTCTACACTGCAGGAGCTACAAGATATGTCACTATCCTGGGCTGATGAGTGCTATTGCAATGACCAGCATTCATAACTATAAGAAAAAAATTTTAGTTGCTCAGTAAATAGGCGTCAATGAAATGTGGCAAAAAGCACCTGCAAGGGATGTTACCCTTTAGGCGAGACAGCAAAAACAGTGCAGAAAAATGTTTATTCAAAACAAAAAACAACAAATCGTCACCGTTCTGTGGCGGCACAACACAGAGTATAACACGAGTGGCCTGCGGTCTGGCGGAGATCCCTGCCGTCCGATAACGCGCATTTGATCGATCTGCTTGCGCTTCGGTAGCCAGGGCCCGACACATCAAATAGTGTCAAAGCTGCTAATCCTCTGCTTTCATGCGAAAATTTCCTATGCACGCCCACTTTTGATCCCTCCTATGAAATTCTATTATAAATTCTTGCAAGCTCCAGCTTTCACAACGCTTTCGCAACAGCTCCGACCCGGCTAACGCCGCCTGTAACTGACCCCGCGATGCGCATGAGATGGATGGCTACTTGCCTTAACGGCTCGGGTCCACAACATGCCCATAGGAGATAGTTCGCTCGCCGGCAGAGCATCTCTAAAAAAAACACAGAGTCTGTACAAAATAAAATGTGCCAAATATACAAAAAATTATGTATGGTAAAACGATGAATAATACTTCTACAAATTGAAAACAAAGTATTGTTAACATTTTACTAATCTAAAAATTTATACAAAATCAATTAAAAAATCAAATTTTTTGAATTAAATACTTCTATAATCTTCCATTTCACCTAAACTCCTCTCCCCCCCCCCCTCCGTCGACGTCGGCCCTTTTTGGAGATCCTTCACTTTTGAAGGTCAAAATCAGCCGAGAAACCCTTCGCCTGGAAGGGTACCCGGCTCACCCTACCGCTCCCATGGTCAGACGAGTGTTGGTAGCATGACGGCGATAGTTGACGTTGTGAGACAGCGTGTACAACGGTCGATGCGTCCCGGGACTCCTTTCGTGTCCATCATGGTAGCTGTGAGATGGATTTTATGCACTTTGTGCCTACTGTAATGGACGCGGGTGCCTTCAGTTCGTAGGTGACCAACAAGGGCATGAAGTGCTCCGTCTTCATTTCCATGAAGTCCTATTCATTCGGCGCAAAAAAACCTCGTTCGTGAAGAAACTGCGGAATTGCTTATCGAAACTGTTATGGAGGCTGTCCACGAGCGCGTAGTCCTGTTGTTCTAGGTGCATGAGTTAAAGACGTTGAAACTGAATGCTGCGGTAAGCCGCTGAAGTCCAAGTGCAGGTCTATACTATTGGAGAACAGCGAATAACTGAGTGCCGCTGTCAAACTCGCAAAGAAAGAGATTGATGTTTTGTCCTTTTGCTATAGCGGTAATGAGTTCAAGCATCGTATGCTTCGGGTGTTGAGGTATTCGCATGGCGGCGGATCCGATTTAAAGTAGCGGATCTAATAAAATGTCAATCTAACACAAGATTTCTGCGGCGGACGTCGGCTCTGTAACTTACACAAGGTATTGTTCGCGGTCGCGGTTAACTGCGGCCACGAGTGCAGCGGGATCATCGGTGATTTTCTTACCCGTCTGATCCAAAAGGGGAGTCGCCTCCTTTCTAGGTAATGACCGCTCCGGTTGTTCCAATAAACTTGTCTTCGAATAAAAACGAGAAAACATGCGAGACGGGTACGCACTGTCCCTCTTGGAGACGGATTCTCCTCTATTGGTCTCTTCTTTATATGCAATCATCTCGAACGCTGTAGATGATTAGTCTACGATCGCAATTACTTGAAAAAAAAGGGGGGGGTATATGTTGATGGGGGTACAACTTGCTGCGGCACATATACGCACACTTAAAAGGTACTAGAGGTTAGAGAAGGTTGGGGGAAACAGAAAGAAATGGGCATGGATGGTAAAAGGGAAGGTGTAATAAGGAGCTATTGCAAGAGTTTAATTGATAGGTGCTAGAATACATAGCACGCGGGTAAGAGTGAGTGTATGTGGAAAAAAGAATGTGAGAGAAAGTGTGTGTGAGAGTGTTTGAGTAAGAAAGAGTAAGTGAATGTGAGAATGAGAAATTTGAGATATTATAGAATGCGAGAGAAAGTTTGAGGGTGGGAGAAGAAATGAGCTACAAATGTAGAAGAAATAGAGCGCACATAAAACAAATTTTATGCCTGACCACTGTACAAAAAACCAAGTTGTGAGGAAAGGATATGACAAAGGATGTTTGAGGAAGGTGATAATTGTGAGGGCTGCGGAATACAAGCCACTGCCTTTTTGGCCAAGTGAGAGAAAGAGAGAAGAAAAATCGAGTATAACGGGCAATAAGGAAGAGGCTCGGTGAAGAACAAGAATGGGGAAAGAAACACAAACTGAAAAATACAACATACGAGAAACCACGGAAGAAAACTAAAACCACAACCAGTGTATGTCGGCATGACGCAATTTCGTAAATGATGACTGTATCCTTTCGTCGCGAGACCATGCAAACCTCGTAGCCGTGTAGAGCGCGATAGCTGGCGCGTTTTGGATTAGGGTGCGTACGCTCTAAAGGGTTTAGCCAGAGTGCGCGGCGTACGGGCGTACGTGACGTACGCAGCGTACGCTCGGTATATTTCATCATAGGACGCCATCATCGCGTACGCCGCGCAGTCTGGCTCAACCCGAAGCGTGATGCTGAGTCACGCTGTGCGTGCTCGTCGCATGTGGTGTAACCATCCTGGGCTTCAAAGTATAGAGACAAGATGAGGGTCAAAAACTTACCGTTAAAGTCCGTAACTCTGCGACTCGTACACTGCTCTGATCATTCTCATGAAGTAAGCCCACAATTCCAGTTTCCATTTCCAGCGTCCTCTTGGCAGATTATCCTCCGCAATTACTAGAGGTCTTAATCTGGTGATGTGTAGCCGTGTGCCGGTACGTCGCTAACGGCGGTGATGACGTTAAACGAGTGCGGAAAGGTATTCGGTGCGCCATATATTCCAAAAGGAGTCCAAAACAGGTTTTGCTTTCTTGTATCAGTCCGATAGCTTGTTCCTCGACAACGACGTTGTAATCCTGCGATCGTGGAGGAACTTGAAGCTAAAATTGGGGTGAAATGCAGTCTACTAAGCGTAGTATCCGAAACGGTGCTTCCCCTTCATATGGAGTTATAAATAGAGAATTGATAATCGCTCCGATTTCCACAAACATTGTTCTCAAGTGTTCCCACGTCAGCTGCGTTCTTCTTAGTGTCTTCTTGGAGACATCAAAAAGAGCGACAAGTCTATCGTAAAAACCTTCTATCCATGGGGATTTAAAGGTATTAAACAGGATAAAGCCGGGGGTGTGGCACACGGCCGTCGGATACGACCCCCCTTGGGCCGGACCCCGCACGACCCCTCCCCCCTCCCCCTCCCCTCCCCCCTCGCTCTTGAGCTTCACAGCTCCAACTGACTTTCATAAAATTTTCTCTTTTTACCAAAACATAACAATATCTGAAAATTTTTTACCAAAAATAACAACATTTTAACATCAGTGAGATCTTCAGAGATCGGTGTAACTGAGATCAGACGTGCCCAACTCGGGGCGGGCGGCGGCATCGTTTGGTATCGCGCAAACGATTATTTTTTTCTTCAGCAAAAGATAGATAAAGACAAGCTGAAATAATTTTTTTAGGGTGTTGTAATTTGTGAAATGGGACTTACCACTATGATGATGATGAGTAAAGCAAACAAGGCGTTTCTGTCAGCGGGTATTATGACGTCGTTGTTGTTGAGTTGCTAGAATATTTGTATTACTAATGAAATTCCACAATCCTATGTTTCGTGACGAAACTGTGGATATTATTTCATGATCGAGGTGCAAAAACAGTGCGTTGATTGCGTTTATTGCATTATAGGATGTGGATGCGTTATCACTATAACATTTGATTCAACTAGCTTAGCCTTCGGGAAGGCGGGGCTCCGTGACCTAATCAAGGCTAGCTAGTGATCAGAGAGCACCCGCGCGAGAGAGACGCAGGTGCGTCGCGAGCGCGAGCGGCTTTAATAACACAAAACACTTTAATTACACGTCACAAAACCCCGCCTTAACGAAGCCAAGCCAGTTCAATCAAAGGCTAGATAAGGTCGCCTTCCACATTGTCCTAGGAATCGTCGGAAGACCAATAGGAAGTCTTGTGTGCAGTTGGAACAAACAAGTGCTAAATGAACCGCTCTTACGGCCATGCACGTTGAGGCAAACCCAAGACTTCGATTCCATGCCGTTTGTATCCCTATAATGGATAGGACCTCAATAGTCCAGTCCGTTCTAAGCGGTCTCGATCTTACTACGCATTCTTCGGACAAGCAGGGCATGTCCGGATAACGATAGGCTGAACCACTGGCTTGTACTCCATGAATGTGTTTGATGGGGGTGTCACCACTTCGCGACGTAGTCACACAATTTTGGAGATTAAAATAGTGAAACGAAAGAGGCGGCAAGCAACAAGTAACGACATGGACTCCAAGATGTTATTACGGGGAGAAAGAGTGCCGACAACCAAGAGCAGTTACAAAATGCATGGGGCAACGAACAACTAGGTAAATTTAGCCGCAAAATGAAGGATGAATGCGCAATGCGAGCATATAAGAAATGGATTTGGAACGAGAATCTAACATAACATACAGGGCTTCTTCGCCAGCTGATAGCGTTGATGAAGACAGACAAAGCTTTCTAACAAGGACTTCAATAACTGCAAAGAAACCTGGCCATCAGAAAGCACCAGACAGTGCCGACAGTAGGCGGGGAACATGGCGCCAGCCTTCATACCTATCAATCATTCTAGGCAGAATTGTAATGATAACCAATATGATTACGAAACACTACCGAAGCCACAGTCGAGCTTGGCTCCAGGAGTATTTCGTAATCACATGTCTTTAACATTTATTTATATAGTGTTTCGTAATCAACTGTCTATAATCTTTATTATTCCAGAATTTTTTAGATAGGCACACATCCCACTTGTTCACATTCTACAGTTCAATTGTCGTTCAAAGTGGATTTGTGGAGCAACGCAACTTTAATCTTCATTTTTCCACATTTATAGCTGTCTGATTGACACAATTTTTACTTATTTGAATTGATTGCTTTACCCTCATCGTTGTTTCATATGGCGCATTCAATTTTTTTTTAGTGGAGGCATAACTTCCATACGAAAGCAACCTCTTGTTTCGCGCTCGCGCAGATATTCGGTCCTTGATCATCGTCCGGCGATCAACTTTATATGTCATTTGCCAACTGTGTATCATGTGTAATCGTTCATGCAAATATTTGCATTTTGTCAAGTGGCATATAGCACCGTACACATTGCGCTCACAAGACAAATATTGTTGCTTTTACAAGAAAATGGCACGCTTTTGCATTTCGAGGTAATGTGACAATTCGCGGAGAGTACACAATGGCTACAAATTACTCTTTGATTCTTCGAGATTGGCGGTTGCAAGGCGAAAATGAAAATGTGGAAAACGAGATAATAACCGACCGCTCGCACACTCGGCGCAGTCGCATCTCCCTCACGAGCGCGCTCAAGCATTCTCTAGTCTTGATTAGGCCTCGGAACCCGCCTTCCAACCGCCAATCCAGTTAAATCGAAGAATATTCACAATTATTATCTCGTTTTCCACATTTTCTCGGCTCTTGTGCTATAGTGTGTCTCGGCCAGCTTCCCATGGGTATCTCCTGCATACGCAGGCATACTTGGCTGCCGTCATAGCGTCTTTTATCTCAACTTCTGTAGAATTTTTTCCTTATTCATGTTTGCCGTAATTTCTCTATCTCAGGTGTCTTCCGTCAAGGAAAAAGACAGCGAACAACTTTAGATGTCTTAAGACCTCTAAAAACTTTTATTTTTTACTTTGCGGCTTCTCTTTTTCTCACTACAAATCGAAATTTATAAGTTTTATAGGAAAAAGTCCGGATAGACATCCTCATAAGGGATGTGTCCCCCCCGGACAATTTTGTACTGGTAGATGCTTCTCTTCTTCTTTTGTGATCCGTTTAAGTGATTCAAGGTTTTGTTTATCAAAATGCGCCAATCTTTGAGCTTGCACGTTTGGGTTTTTCCACGTTTTCAAAGGAAAACTTTGAAATCTACTATTGAAATAGAAATAATCGGGCACAAATTCATTAAATAAAGGGGGAAGAAGAAAATAAGTGTCTTGAAAGTTATGTGGCCTACAAATTCTTGGTGAATGATGAAATAATTTTTAGAAATTTTTGAAACTTAAAGTAACCTTGTAGACAACTTTCGACGGGTGGTTCACTACAGCCCCTTTTGCTAAAAATTAATAGTGTACAAGTACCGAAATTACAAAATTTGACCATTCCTGAGCTCCTTTCAGAAGAAATGGCTACAAGCCCATGGACGCAAAAAAATTTTGTCACCCCTCCTCCCATCCCCCAAAGAAAATTTCTCTCACCGGCACTGCTTTTCACTTCTTCATCCCTCTCTTATCCTCTCTGCCCCTGCTGTTGCAATGCTTTTTTCTCTCAAAAATACCTAAGAAAAGGTAAGTTAGATACACATCATGCAAATTTCATTTTCCATGAACCTTTCAGATTTCCTCTTCAAATGCGACTCGCAGTTGGTTATAATGTCTCACAACATTCCAAATTAAAGGAAAATTCCCTGTGCGAAGAACATCGGACAACTTTTCGGAGATACCACAGGGATAGGCGATGTTAGATCATATTTTTTTGCTTGATCGTCCACAGTTCTACTAAGTAGACGACACCTCCTGCTTCAGCTCGCGTATGGTCGTCAGCGGAAATCTATGATACTTTTGACGACTGTACAGATACATCCACTGTACAGATGCTTCTAACTTTTACCTCAGGGTTTCAAACGTGGATAGTAGTACGCTGATTTTGTACGGAATATTGCTCTTCGTCAGCTATCATGCCTCAAGAAGCTCATTCGCTAATTTTTTGGTCATCAATCTCATTACAGAGGGGAAAGAGGCGAAGTTGGTTCCAGTCGCGTGGACAAAGCTAAAATGACTCTAATGAATGGAAGCGGGCTAACTTCCCATAAGATGCACCTTCCCCTCAAAGTGCATCTTATTATCTCACCTTCTAAATGAAGCCGTTGAATCTTATTCCATTTATTTCATTGCATAATTCTGAGTGCCTTTTCACCGTTTTTGTTGCCATGTTATCGATGAAAGTATCAGCATGATCTATATATATACAGGGTGTCTCAAAAGTAAGTACACACTTTTCAATCGTTAATATCTCTCTTCCCATTATGTCTTTTTCCGCCAATCAAGCATCTTTTTGTAGAGGAGGCTTCAACTTAGATTTGCAGTATCGAGCAAATTGCCGATCGCTCTTCATTACTGTAGAATTACTGTAGAAACTTCGACAGGGGTTTCATGTCAATGAAAGCTATATTTTGCCTCGGAATAAAACCAAACAAGCCAAAAACTCTTGTACTATGGTAACGGAAGTCGCTGATTTCGTATATGAAACTTACACTTTATTGTGATAATTATTTTCAAAGTTATCCCAGGTAAACCGTAATAACCGAATCCCTGATATTTGTCAGAAATGTGGTCACACCGTCAAAAAAGCCGAAAACACTCGTAGAAAGTTGTGTAGTGGAATCAGCGTGCGCGAAAACCTTAGTACACAATTTTTCAAATTTTTTGAAAAAAATTTGTCAAGTGGCATATTTCACGATAGATCCACATGCTAGAAGTTCATACCGTAATCCTACAGTAACGAGAAGCAATCGGTGATTTGCTTCCTACTGCAAATCTAAGTTGAAGCCTCCTCTACAAAATGGAACTTGAGTGGCGGAAAAAGACATAAAGGGAAGAGAGATATTAGCGATTGAAAAGTGTGTACTTACTTTTGGGACACCCTGTAGATCATGCTGATACTATAGATCATGCTGATACTTCTTTTCTATATATTTTCTCTTTGTAAAGTTGATCACTCTGTTTTATCTACTAATTCTGTTCGCATATCGCCTTCGATTTGCTACCTATATTCGATGTGTACAGAATTCAATGCTACACTACTTTTTATTTCTTCCTTATTGATTTTCAATCTTACTGATCTGTATTAAATCTCAGCTGTGTTAATCTCTCTCTGATGGTCCACTGTGTTCCAATATGTTCCAATATCCAATATGGTGCCTTTGCAATGAAAAATACACTGTGATATTTCTTTTTCTAATAAAAGATACCTCGTTGTTTGTGTCTTATTTCAACATCTCGAAAGGAATTTTTACATTAAAAGAATGGCTTAATCAGAAGCGGAGAACTAACTTCTCGAAATGAAGTTTGATATGAAAAAAACGGATTAGAAATGGAAAGCGAAGACCGAAGTGCTTCGGAAATCCCCATCTTTTCAGCTTTTAGCAGCACAATATTCGCAGGTAACCGGCGAAAATACTGCGAAAGCGTTGCGGATTTACAGTCAGTTTTTGAGTTGCCTAAAGTATAGAATTAGAAGACTTTACTGACAGGGTGTAAATGGCAGTTGTTGCTTGACAGATCAAAGTCTCTCGTTTTTATCCGCACTACTACTGGCAACACAATTATACAATTATTCATTCATCATATAAGTTCTTCTACAAAGTATTTCAGCCACGCAAATATTCTACCCTAAACTCATATGTACTTTTTGCAAAGAATGTCGATTATATTCGATATGGAAGCCATCATGTCGCACCGGGTTCAATAATATCACATCGGTCATATAAGCCATAAAAATAGGTAAAGTACGTGAATGGAACAAATTTTATATGAATACATGAGATATATAATCATCTTTTTTTCGAGATCGCTGAAAAAAATCACGATTTTTGCTTGATTAATAAGTGTTTACCTAAACAGTCACAACGTTTACCGTCTCCTGACATGACGGACTTCTCCTTTTGTCTCACAGATTTGCCGTTTGCCATACTGCTTTGATAAACTCGAGTCATTCGCTCGATATTCTCGTCGCGAAGAGGAACGGCACGTGCTTGTCGGATTCGCGTCTCAAATCGGTCGATAGCCAATGGACGAGTTATCGGTACTCCTCGAGCTTGCGACAGTCTCTGACGCTCTTCCATGTAGATCAATTTCAACTGGTCTGAAAGCGTGTCTGAAATTAAGTGCTTTCAGACACTAGCAGCTAGTCTGCTATGTGTCTATAGGTGGTCGGATAAATACGGCGCACTAAACAACGGGCATTGCTGCCGTGTAAAAGCGAAAATAAGAAACAATTGAGATAACTCCTTATTTTTTGTATAGGCAGTCTCTCCATAAATGAGCCTAGAACTTGAGAAAACATCAATTACTGTGCATTCTAGCGGAGGCCGCGTCCAATTTTCATACGAGACACCAAATGTCAAATGCCCGTCATTTAGCGCGCCGCATTTGCTGAACTGTTTCTGAGCCTTGTTAGATGCTATGTACGCACCTTTTTCAGAGGGTTTTCAGAACCACTACCTTTCGTGCTACATTTGAAAAGCATGCTTACCGTAAAGAAATTTCTCCCAAGCGTAAAATGTTTGAAATTTGAAATTGGCTGGATCTAAACCATGCATTTTGCAGAAGTTTCCCACTAGTGACCGCACCAGTATCCTCTCTTGCACCTTAAGATGAAATGATACACTAAGCAACTTATAAGACCTGATCGGACTTTACATCTGGTACTCTCCTACTTACCTTTCCATACTGTATTTGCATACGTTTTAAATGCGTTAACTCTTGGAAGATAGCCTTTTCATGGATATATCGACGAGAAGCATCCTTGCCTGAAAAAAAGTTACAAGAAAAAAACGTAGATCAAACAAAAAAGCTTTGCTAATTTATATTTACGTTCTCGAAAAAAAATTTTTTTAAGGCCAACCGCTAAGCACGGAAGCTTTTTAAATTTATTATAATCATGGGCAACATATGTTTGGAAAATCTTTCAAATATTAGGAACCAATAGATAATTTCGTTTCAACTTTGGCAAACCACCACGAAGATTGCAACCTAGTTTACGAAATTTTGCAGCCAAATATGCGAGAATTTCCTGAAATTTGCGCGTGTAAAGGCTATGCATGACGAAGGCGCAAAAGCCGTATTAGCTGAGCGGGCGCGAAGGAGGCGTGAGCGTATATTCACCGTTGTAAATCCTGCGCCTCATGCGCTCTGTGGCTAAAAAAGCCGCGTTCGCGCCCAAAGATATTGCGCCATCGTCATGCAGCAGCCTATAAGTAAATTTTTGTGTGTGAAAGCGCTTGAAATTGACCACCTGCGACCATGCAAATGTTGAAATTAGGAAACTAATGTGTACCAAATATACCTACCCAACACCTCTTTAGCGCATGATTTCGAAAAATTTTGTAAGAAATTTTTACTACTCTAATCTCGCACCATACCGTCATCGAAAGTTTTCTTTTTTCGCTAAACAAAGTGAACCCTCCCATTCTCCTTGATTTACTTTTTCGAATGTCGTCATACAACAGCATCAATTCACCTGTGACATTTCTATAAAAAGTCAAGTGCGGCAAGATTATTTCTCAGCAGTGGTACCTTCTTTAATTTGGCATTTTGGTACTCATAATTGGTCGGTGAAGGCACATTGTGAAGCCCCAAATTTCCCAGATCTTGATCACCCAACTCCAAGTCCCCCCAAAAGGAAAACTTGCACTGACCTACTGTTCGATTCGCTCCAATCTCTTCCCATTCATCTTCGAAAACTTCGTAATTGCCGTCATATTCGCCAGCATCATACAATCTCTGTACCCGTAATAAGGTGTGAGGATCCACCTGCGGTAGTGGCAGTGAACCAAAGTCTACAGATTGATTACCCATACCTCATTTTTCCTTTCCTTCTTTTCGCCTTTCACACGAACTAATTTTCCATCATTGGCTGTTCGTTTTTTATTTGGATTCATCCGCATACCAGCTTTTCTATTCTCCGCTTTCTAAACGGGACCATCATGAGGTTTTTTGGACTTTGAAAAATCGACGAACATTTGGCTTGTCAGCGCTTTGTCCCTTTTTGATAATTACAGTTTTATAAACAACGTTTTCCTTTGGTCTCTTCCCGTTTTCGTCAAGAGATGAAGCTTCCGTCAGTTCAACACTTTCGAGAAGTCTTTGATTGTCCTCGTCATAATCTTCGTCGCTCGTGTCACTAATTGCTGGCAGGTCCTAAAAATAGATGATTATCAGCAAAGTCTATTATTTCTTGTCATTTTTGAAGAAACTTTACTGACTTTGGCATCCACATAGAAAAATACATGACTGACTTCAAACTCCTCATCGATCTCTGGATATTCATGAGCTGTGCGTTCTTTCTCTTCCTTATCAGTCACTTTCTCATCTGATGATCGCTCCACTGAGGTATTCGTGTTGCTCATCATCTCTTTACTCGATTCCTTCGGTGGTTGTAGTTGTTTAGTATTTAGCTGTAAAAAATAAGAAAAAGTAATTGTTCCAGAAAAGCGGCTTGTTTTTGGGAAAGTGCACCTTTTCAGCCACATTTCTTTCCGAGTGCCATAGCAAACGAACCTCAAGTTTTGCCATGGCAACTTTGTGTATCTCTTCGCGAATTATTTGCTCCATTTTTTCATCAGCCGTCGCCCTAGCTTTTTCCAATTTTTGCAAATCGGATGTTGAAGTAGATTTTATAAGTCGCCCAGGTGAACGTGAACCGGCTGATGATATTCGACGAGGCTATAAATATGAATGATTTTCGAGTCGAAGATGCGTCCAGATCTGCTGGTGCCAGCGCCGTTCCAGGACTCTGCCGCAGCATCGATCGACCAATACAGAGAGCGTTCACGTAGATTTTGGCACGGCTGTGGCACGGCTCTGGAGCGGAATTGGCACAGAGCGGGCATAAAGGCAACTACGTTGCCTAAACTATAAATCCGTTTGAAATTCTAACCGACGTCATCACACCCGTATCCATCATTTTGTGCTCTAATTGTTGTGATCCAGAACTTCTTCTTCGTTTTGCTTTTGACTTCTTCATCAATGCCTCGTTTTCTTCGTCTTCGTCCAGAAGATGACGTCCACGAGCTAGTTTTGCTGCAAGTAACTTTACTTGCCTGTTGAATCTGGACAGATAAAAAGCATTTTCAAAAGAAATACCAGCTCGTTCTTTTTTTCCATGCCTATGCTATAAAGGAAACGGAAGCAGAGAAAAACTCAGCACTTTGCAAGCCGTGTGCAAACAACGTAAGTTGCAAAAAATTATAGAACCGCATTTTACGATTTTGGTGTAATCAAAGTTGAAGCGTTTTACTTTTGGAGAATCTATCCTATACGAGAATAAAGGTGCTAAGCAGGGTTGGAAATGAGTAATTTGAGAAATTTCACCTTGTACAAGTTGCTCTTCGAATGACAAACGATTCTTCTGCCGCTCTTCCTCAGGTATCTCCTCAGCACGCTTGGCTCTGTGTTTAGTTGATAAGTAATCCACTACCAGCTAAATCAATTTTATGCGATTTTTAGTTTTGGAAGCCAAAAAACGTACCTGGTGATCTTTTCGGCGTGCTAAATCTAGTGGGGTGTACAGATTGTTCTGGAAAACAACACATTACATATTACAAAGGAGTGTAAGATTTTGGAACAATGTGAAGATAAAAGCTAGGCCTTTATCACTATAGCTTCTTGCAAAAAATGTATCATCTATTTCGTCAGAAATATCCAACGATTTGTAGCTTGTAATCATCAACTTGTGATAATGGTGGGTCCAGAAAAATTTCTTCTAAGGAGGGGGGGGGGGGGGGGGGAGAGAGAGAGAAGGAGAAGGACGAAGGACTGAGGAGGGCAAGAATGATGTTCCAAATAAAGAGACGGAGTGTGCCACCGTTATTACTAATTTTCCAAGCTTCCCAGATTTTTAGAGTTTAGCATTGAATCTTCAGAAAACGTGACAATCCGCTACCTTAACATCAAAAATATTTTACATACGTAGTTTAAAATTTCGTGAAATGTATGTAATTATTTCGGCAATTTATAAACACGAAAAACTGACCACATAATCTCAATCAACCGATTTCAAAAACTTCGAACCCTTCTACAAGAACGTGTCAGAGCCTTCCCTTCAATACGCCGCTCTTGCATGTACTATCAAGCTATAGCTTGAAAAGTATTGCTTTTCATACCTTATAAAGCATCAGCGGATCTACATAACAGCCTTTCGTACAAAGCATTATGACCATTTCAAGATTTCCTTGTGCAGCGGCCAGATGGAGGCATGTTCGTCCTTCGTGGCTTCCTGCATTTAGAGATGATGGTTGCAGAGCCAGCAACCATTCAACAACGTCTGAAATAACACATACCACATACTGGGCATTTTGCCTTTAAGCTAAGAACTTTGGTCGTCATTTTAGGCGTTTTACAGTAAAAATCACATGCATAGCCTTTATTTTTATAAGCTAACATGTGCGATTGCACACGACCACATTGCGCGTAAAATTCAAAAATTTCACCGCAGACGCATGTCTCAAAATAAGTGGGTTCAGTGCATTTTTGTGGTTTTATTCTTTTCATGGAGAAAAAATTATATATTGCTTCGGAAAGTGCAAGCTAACGAGGGAAGGATACTTGGTCACCGCGGCCATTCATAATAATTTGTACATCAGAAATGCGCCATTTGATGCTGGTTCGAATACTGTCTTCCATATCTGCGAAACGATAACCTGGATGGAGTTATGATTATTTTTCCATGAATAAACTGCGTTACTGCGGAGTGTCAAAATCATCAATAAAAATTTTTCTTTTCTTTTCAAATGCTGAATATGATTTAAATAGGTATAATACAACAGTATTCATTTTAAAATTCTCTTTAATAGCTTCAAATGGTAACCTAGGACAAATTTGGTGATTTTAATTAGACAAAAGGACGCAAATTTTCTACGGAAAAAAATTCATAACTTCCTTCGAAAGATCGCTTCGCAGATATCGAGCACAGATTTGGAATCAGCGTTTCAAGGTGCACCTTACAATATACATCGCATTCCAAATGGCCGCGGTGACCGAGTATTCTTCCCTTGTAAGTTGATTTTTGCTACCTTTACTCCCTGATTGGACAGCTTCATGCACCGGTAAGTCACCACGGTAATTTTGTATCTCGAAGGAGGCGTTGTACTGCTTGAGCAGTTTGAGCATACGCATTTGTCCCTTCGCTGCTGCACAATGTGAAGGAGTTCGAAGTCTGTGGTCCTGAAAGTTGATCTTCTCTGAGTAGAAAAATTCGTTTGAATTATTTGCAGCTATGTAGCGTTTATGTGGTGTTTTTCACAGCAGCTGAAAGAAAAACTAGAAATGACTAACCTGATGATTAGGATTAGCACCGTAATCAAGAAGCCGTTTTGCGACCTCGTAGTGCCCATAGGTGACTGCATAAAACAGTGCCGTATGACCTGCTCGATCCTTTTGATCAACAAAATAGTGTGGTAGAGCTTCCATAATGAAGTCGACTGTCTTAAAAGAACAATAAAAAGTTTGGCGAGTTAAGGACAATTTTATTTTCAACTTTAGCAACTGTCGTATGGTGCATGAAGAAGAAAATAAGGAAGTGCAAATTCTGAAACTTGAAAAATGTTACCCTAAATTCTTACAAACAACCGCTTTTTTGGCCTGAATAAGGCCTTTCGTATAACGCCCTACAGATAAGACAGTTTTCTTTCTATTATATTACAATTACCCTAAAATTTTGTCAGATAATTCCGGACTTGTCTGCAGCGGACTCATTTGATGGGAGGCCCTATCTGCGAGATTTCAAGGTACATTGAGTTTTATGTATTTCGAATAAACACCCACATCTATAACAATTTCCCAGAATATAATTAACCATTATATTAACTTTCTGTTAACCGCACAGAAAAAAGTAATAATAAGTGACTTCAATTATTACTGCAAAAGCAGCACTGCAGCAAAGACTCATATTGTTCGAAATCGTGCAAGTCATTTAGCACAGCGTACTCATATAACAAGCAAAACCGCATAAAAAACCTCAAATGGGCCTCTAATCAACTAGAATTTTTTCAATGTTACTTTCGAGTAATATCATTCTACGTGGGTTCTGATTTGATTTTTGCTGAAGACTTCTTTACAAGTCCGATACGACTCTTAATTATTCATCACCGAAAATTCAATGATTTTCATGGAAATTGACTATTAACCGTGTGCTTTCAGGTTTTTTGATTACTCTCATCTCATCTACATAACACTATCACAAGCGTCAAAATTTGCCGGCATCAACAAAAATTTATTGCCTTACTGTTGATTGTTGCATCGAATTTACGAAAAAAAAAGCTCAACTGAAATCAAGTAAAAACGCACTACAATGATACTGACTGCATCCGACAAGCGAAAGAATCCCCTTCTTTTCCCTCTCCCAACATCTGCTTAAAGGCAGCGTCCCGGCAAAATTTCGCTCTCCGGTTTCACCTCTTCGGAGCCTTCTCGCCATGCTGAAACCACACCTTAGCTTTTCCGCGCTTGAAAATGGCAAATGAGCTTTTCTTTGGAGCTCTCCGCGTCTACGTTTGCTCCAAATTACGTGTAAGATGTGGGCGGAGCCTGGAAATGGGCAGTGTCGGGAATACTTCCGGAGCTGATTTTGGGCTTTCCAAAAAAGCTTCTTCGCCCCAGACTTCACTGATAGATTAGCTGGAGGGTCTACCATCGCAGCACTGTAAAATCTCGGTACTCATCAATTCGAGAGGACGCTGCCTTCAACCGAAAGTTCGACCATTACTACTATACCTGGATAAGAAAAATTTATCTCTGTCGTTGCTGATAAACTTTATGCTCTGTGGAAGTGTTCGTGTCCAAATATCATTCTCTGATATGTAAATTGACAAAACTTTCGAGTTTACATTAAAAGTTGAGAGTGATGATGAAGAAGGGAAAGAAGGAGAGAGACCAAGGATAATTTGAATTGATTGCAAAGCTTTTTTACTCGGTATAAAAGTCTTTTGATGCCATTCACAACTTTGCTAGTGTTTTTCATCCTTCCCCCCCCCCTCCCCGCCATTATCGGCAGTCGTTCCTTGAAGAATATTCTTACATACCTCATGATATCCATGACTAGCCGCGCAGTGTATAACTCCAAGGCTGTCACGATCCACTGCCTTTAGGTCTCCACCCGCTTGTCGCAATGAATGCATGGCTTCGAGGTTTCCTAAAAACAATAATTACTCTCAAATACGGGGGTAGTCATAAGTATGACGAAGCGAATTTGAAAAACTGACCATTGCTTGCGGCCCAAAGGATAGGTGTTCTTTCGTCTACATCTCTGCTGTTTGGTTTGGCTCCGTGTTTTAGTAAAACATGTAAAATGGATAAAGCCGTTTCAGGTGCGATTTCTTCACTGGCTGTGGCGTAGTGGAGCGGAGTCGCTTTCTGAAGGAGCTCATACTACTTAGAGACTTATCCCTTTCAATTAGGCGTAAACCATTATCGCTGCTACATCTAATGCTAAATTCTCCAGATCAATGAATTCAAAATTGTTTTGAACATCGTGATGAAAAAAGTGATTAGCCCTTATCAGGAACACACCGTTGGGACAGAATTTTTATTTTCCGAATGAGCTATTAAGTTGTCCCAAAAATAATGTCGCATCTGCTATCACGCAATTCGCGGCAGGGTAAACATGAAAATTTGTGAGTGACATACAATTTGATAGAGCAAAGCAAGATTTACAAGATGAGGTTTTTTTACCCAGTTTAATTTGTGCGAAGTTTAGAGGCAATCTTCAAAATTTTCAAAGTTGAAATGTAAAAAAACATCGCAAATATATAATATATCCATACTAAAAACACACATAAAACTAAGAACCCGCAACGTGCTCGTATACGCTCTACATCATCATCTCGTACGCACAGTTTTGAGATCTTTCCATGGGTAGAAATCGAGAAAACAACGGGCATGTTTTTGAAAAGCATTTCTGAATTCCTCCAAGGAGTTGCTTTTATAGTGTGAACTTTTGGAATCGTAAAATTAACTATTAAGCCGTTTTCGAGAGACGTTGGTTGTCTAAAAAATAAGCTCGGTCGTTTTTAGGGATTTGTAGAAATTCACAAATCAGTTTTTTGTATGTATACATGATACCGTTGGAATAAGCCAATCAAGGAGAATCCGAATTAACTCTGTTTCCTCAAAAATGATTTTTTTGATGACGAAATGGTGCAGAAAGGCAGAATGGTCAGATTGTTTCCTCAAATCTTCGAAAATCATGCCACGAAAAACGAACTGAAGTCAAATGTGAAATGTAAATTCGGTACCCACACAACAAATTGCCAAATCTCCAATCATTTGCATGGCCAAGGATGGTCAAATTATCTGGATTGTTCAAAATTTGACTTCTACGCGCAGTTGCTTGAAAATTTTCAAACTTTTGGCTGCAGAAATTCACAAGCAGCAGGTCACAATCTCCATTGTGGTTCACCCCTCACCCAGAAGTTGTATGAATAAAACCACCAAATTACTCGCCTACGTATTCACTAAAGGCTGAAAGCGAAAGTTAGAAAATCAAAAGGTGATTTTTTAAAGGTCTGACCATATAAGGGCATAACTGTTTTTAGTGACACAAAACCTTGGCTACTTGTTATTTCAGAGTGAATGTTCAAAGCTAATCTCTCATGAAAAAATCTTAGCCTACGTGAATTGTTATCAAGCTAACTTGCATGTCAAAACAAACCTATTTATTGACCAACGTAATATCAAATGCACAAAATTCCGAAGATCGCGAATTATCGTATTTTAACCTATTTTTGTTCCTCGTATATTAACCAAAGAAGAATTTAACTATTTTACGCCTGAATTTCCAGTGTAGAGAGAGTATGTATCATCTATTCTACGACTAGGAGACGCGTGACCGCATTGCGGACATTGTCTTAACATGTTTAAGTTGGTCTTTCCTGTTTCCAAAGAGTGAATAAACGTGGGCGAGATAAATGACAAGTGTAAACCTGCTACGTTGTTTAGACAATTTGTGCAAAGTCTTCTAGTCCTAGAATGAATGATACATGCCTAAGCAAAGTTTTTTTGGGCGGAGACGCGTTTCGTGTATTTCAAATTTCTTACGATTTGGTTCAAAACTGCAGATACAGTAAAGTTAGGGCAAATGTTTGCGCCTCATCTTGTAGAGCTTGCTTTGTTCTATCAAAATATCCTACTCGCTCTCTTTCTTGTTCACTCGCCTGATTTGCCGCCCGACACTAATTTGAGACAACCTAATAGCCTGAAAACTTATGCGGTTTCGAAGAGTTTTTTTTTTCAAATCAAAATCCTCCGCTGATAATTTGGAGGCGTAACAATCCCACGTTTGTGCTTACACTTCTCACTTCCATAAAAAAGTTGGGGCCCTATCATTAAACAGGTGATGCACAAATATTTACGGAAAGCGACTAGCGGACATATCAATCTTAGCTACAGATTTAGCGTGCACATTTAGAATGACTCGATAATGAATGGAGTAATAAAGTATGCATAGGAAATTGCAGATTGGATTAAAATGTTATAAAGCATTGAAAAAGAAAGTAAAGCTGAATTTCTGATCAAATAATGCTTGTGAGAAAACATCAAAGAGTAAACTTACCAGTAAGTCAGGAGCTTCTACTACTGCATTGTGTGTGAGCAAATACGTCAAGGTATCGAGCTGAAACACTGTGCAATTTTTCTTTTCCCACAAGGATGTACATATGCCCATATACGTCCCCTAGCAGAATAATAAACGAAAGCATGCTAGCAGTTTTTCTTTTTGACATCATTACCGAGCAAGTACAAAGAAAAAAAGAAAATTTCTGCAAAGGACTACTATCGATCCGGAACTTACTTCTCCGCAAACGACAGCCCAATGCACTGCAGAGTGACCGTCGCGATCGCAGTGATTGATGTCAGCACCTTTGGAAATTAAAAATTCAATGAGGTCAATCCGGCCGCCCATCACGGCCATTAGTAGAGGGGTGTGTCTGGAAGTAAAGCCCTCCGATGAGATTCAATCAATTCATTGCACCTCTGCCGCAACAAAGCCCGAGAATTTAACTTTTGGTTCAAAAGGGTGGCGGCTAGAAGGTGGGGCTTTGTGACATCAAGGCCGCTCGCGCCCGCTACGTAGTCTCGCGTCTCTCTCGCGCTCATGCTCTCTGATGATTATCTAGTCCTGATTAAGTCACGAATCCCCGCCTTCCAGCCGCCAAATCAGTTGAATCAAAGGGTACAAAAGCGATAGATAGGGTGTAATCATTCTATTAAGCTTACCCATTTTTGTCTTCACAGTCAAGTAAAGTAGGATCCTGCTCAAATATCTTTTTGAACATGTCGAGCTCCATAGTCTCAGCCGCATAGTGCAAAGCAACGCGGTCTTCTGAGTCTCGCATAGACACCTCAGACTGGAAAGACGTGCTATACAGTGAATGGTAATCTTTATCTATCTGAATCAAAATTGTCTACCGGTGGGAAAAATAATGACTAGCGAGGAAATGATCGGAACTTAACCCAGCCATCTCAAACAAGCTGCATATTTTCGGACTCATCTTAAAACGCTGATTTGAAATATATGTTTTTTATCTGCCAAGCGACCATTTGGAAGGAGTTATGAGCGTTCAAACATGAGAACTTTTTTCAAGTTTCGACGATTATGCTTCCTTAAAAGGCAGTCTAATGGCTCGGATTTACAGTGGCTATGGTTATTTTAATTACAAGAAAGAAGCACATTCATCTAAAAGCTAAATAAGCCTTTTTGAAACCTATTTCGCGGAACATGCGCCACAGAACACTTGACAAATCGCACATATAAACGCTCATAACTTCTTCCAGATAGTCGCTTGGCAGATAATAAACATATATTTGTGATCAGCGTTTCAAGACGAGTCCGATGCTATGCAGCATATTTGGTATGGCTGGGTTAAGTCCTGACCATTCCCTGCTAAGCAGCTTCAATTCTGAAAACACATAGTAGTGTTTGTCCAAGCATTGTACTATTCTGCGTGCAGAATAGTACGATTCAAAATCTGCGAGGGATACCCATACCAGTGGCGGTTCAAGGATCCCGTTCGAAGGGTGGAGGGGGGGGGGGACAAAAAAATTTTGCAAAGGTGCGTGGAGTTAGCCATGCAGTCTGAATTTTTTTGAGATGCTTCCCAAAATTTTTGAGTGCCCATAATCCTGAGATTTTAGAAGAAGGAGGGGGGGGGGGGGGAGAGTGGCGTCAGGCCACGCATCCCTTGCGTGTAAAAAGCCTTGCTGGTATCTATTTGAAAGGCGGTCGTCTGAGCTTCTCAATGGCTTGCTTGAGTTTATTCATGAAATGGCCAAGGAACACATGGTTCAAAACAATCAAATGAGCACAGTACTTCAGATTTATTCGTCAGTGTCCTAGTGCTCATACTGCAAAAAATTATGGGACCATTTAGAAATCTCAGGCTTTCAATTTCGCTTAAATTCATTTGCTATTCTAGAACATCTACGAGCAATTTGCAAATCATTGTATAATACGTTTGTAGTCTTACGAGCGCATATACCAAATAGCCAGGTTCTACATAGACTACTTGGCTCTTTCTATACACCTGAAGCAAAATATTATCAGAACGTTGCCTACAGCTTGTTTATAACATCAATTATGCAAGAATTGCTTTTGTGTGATTGTCTTCGATTGATTATGATAGAGTAATTCTCTCCAGACTGGAAAAAGTCTGAATTTCGAGTTTAACATCTATTTATGTCTGAAGCATAGCTAACAATTACTAAGAATGTCCCTCGTGCAATCATCGAATAAGTAGCCAAAAATAAAGCAGCTATAAACTACTTGTGCTTTCGTGACCGAATGCGTAAGTTTCGCTAATTATGAGCTTTGCTAATTCTAGATGAACGAGGGATACTGTAAAGTACTTTTCGAGATGCAACATTGGATATTTTTAGAAGTGCAAGTATTGAAAAGTGCATCATCGTTTCTGAACAAACACAAAAGTACCTGAAGGAGTTTGTAAGCCAGCCAGTTCATTCGAGGTGAGAAGCACTTCACAGCCGATTACGTAGTATATAAAAGCCTAGCAATTTGTGATCAACAGCTCACACAGCGAGAATAATTGCTTGCCGTTCTACTTGCGGAAATATGCGTCGAGGTTTCAGCTGAATGCTTTCAACAAGAACGAACAGCATACTACGGAGGCCGTAAAAGTGCGTAGTACTTTCCCCTTCAGATGACATATTTTTACGCTAGCAAAGCTGTCTATGGGTTTGGCTTGAGTGGATAGGGCGATTCTCCCGATGAGGAAGCCATACGTACTTAGCGGTGGCAATTTGAGAACGTTTTTTCTTACAAGGGAACGATCCCAACTTAAGGTGGCGAATTGGAATGATCTGCATACCATTAGATGCGTCTTGATGAGCTGATTCCAAATTCAACTTCCATATCTGCGACACCGTTATCTGCAAAAAGTTATGAGCGGTTGAAAATGTGAAGTTATCGGGGTTTTAATGCATAATATTCTTTAAAATCCAACTTGGAAGTGCACAACTAGCATGATATTGAGTGTACTGATCCCAGGGAATGCTCAGATTCTAAAAAAACACGTTAAGTGTTTTCGAACAGCTAAAAAGCAACTAAAGTTCTTTGGTAAAAGCTATGAGCAATGAAAAGTCCAAATTTGGCAAATGAACAGCGCCATACCTCGAAAATTAGTTGTTCAAAAACACTTACCTGTGTTTCTATGGAATCTGAGCATAACCTGGAATCAGTACACTAAATATCATGCTAGTCGTGCACTTCCAAGTTGGATTTCAAAGCATATTATGCATTAAAATCCCGATAACTTCACATTTTCAACCGCTCATAATTTTTTGCAGATAACGGTGTCGCAGATATGGAAGACAGATTTGGAATCAGCTCATCAAGACGCATCTAAGGGTATGCGGTTCATTCCAATTCGCCACCTTAAGTTGGGATCGTTCCCTTGTTAGAGGGACAGTCGTTCTCCGAAAAAATGTTGGGATGCTTCCCGAGACTTTCATGGACCTATAACTGAATTTTAAGAAAGGACAAACTGACCCAAATTTCTACAAAACTTCAATGATAGAGTTTTTCCTTTTCGTTTAAGTCAAAGTAAAAATTTCAAACTATGATTTCATTTTCGTACAAGTGAAAGTTTATCATATGCACAAAATTAACTCATGTAAGCCACATTTGGAAGCCTCGCTGCCTATTTTTGAGGGTGGAGTGGGAAACATGTATAGCACCAAGAGTCTAGACAGCAAAAGATTTGCCCATAACCAGTTCGAGGCTATAAGACTATGACTTGGACAGGGTCAGTAGTACTCATTGGAGAACGCAAAATTGATTTTACTTTCGCTCAAAAAGGAAGGAATTTTTATTTTCTAAGTTTTGTAAAAATTTGGGTCAGTTTGTCCTTTCCTAAAATTCAGCTATAGGCTAAAACTGAGGAAAATTAAAAAATTCCAGGACGAAAAAGGATCCAGTGAAATGAATCAAGGATTGCAGTATCAAATTTTAAAGGCTATCATTTTAATCAATAACTTTTTGAGTTTTTTCAAACTTCACCAAATATCTGTGGCTTTTCAGCGAACTATAAATGACAGAACTCTAAAGTAAGAATGCGCTATAATTATAAGAAACAGGAAAATGTGGAATAGAATTGCAGAGGGAAAATAAGAATACTGTCTCCGCAGTTGCCTCAACACAAAATCGTCAGTGCAGCCTCACTAAATAACGAGGCATTCAGCTGATAGACTCAATACCAACACCAAATTCTAAGGCATTTGAATCAGCTAAAAATTTGCTACCCATTCAGTACTTTCTACGTAAGTTGCTTATAGAACTCAATAGGTTGGCGCGAAAGTTCTCGGACATTGTATTTCGACAAAGTTTTTGTTTTGGCTTAAGCACTGATTGAGGCATGTTGCACACCGTTGGACAGAGGAAATCAGTCTCTGCATAACTATAGCAAGCCTAAATTACCAGTGTTTTCTGTAAAATTTCAAGCAAAAATTTTAAAGCACAGGTTTGACTTGACCTAGATCTGCTATTAAGTACTATAAGCGTTATCATCCGCATGTTCCAAGTTATTTTTTGGTTCAATTACCCAAGTTTGAGTACACATTATTCCCATTAGTGGATCGACTACTCGTTCCAAGGAATTTCTAGGTTAGTTCAAGTTCTTGTTTCAACTCCTACGGCATTCCCCCACCACCGATGAGATCCGGGGAAGACCGTATCTCAATCTAATTTCCATATAGTAAAAAAATCAAAACGGAAATTTATGTACTTTTGTTTTTTTTATTGTAGTAAACACATGTCTACATAATATTTACATATTGTTTACACGCACACTTTGTTTGGAGCTTGAGCTTGAACAACAGAAAAAACTAGGTAACTAAAAAGTGGGGAACTCCGCCCCCATTGAACCTAACCCCCTCCCACTTGCTTGAATACCAGCTACAGGCGAGAAAGAGTATAGCTGCATATTTTTGCGCATGTATGCACTAGACATATTTAGTCTGAAAATGTCCGAGGATTGTCTAGCTTGAGTGTAGTTATGATAATTCGATTCTAATGCAATCGGGCTGTTACTAAGACAGTAAGCTTGCTAAACATTAGGATTATTCATCGATGAGCGTGCCATACATAGAAACTCCCCTTTAAAAATTCTCACTGGGTACAGTTTTTGGCGAGTTTTGAAAGGCTACTCATGTCCATCTCGATATAAAGGAGTTCAATCTTGTTCGCGCTCCACAGTGAAGGGATACAATAATTTCAGCTGAAAAGTGCTAATGAAATCCCTCACATAATCTGTCTTTACTACGACAAATCGTAAGCTGCTGTGAACATGTTTAGAAATGTAATGAACCAAATATTCTACATTCGAAAAGCTTAAAAACTGCTGGATATATCTCCTCAAAAATATCTGGAATACTACTTGGACTTCAGAATTGGTAGAGTCATCGCTCTTTTTTTGTCATTATGGGTCAAGTCATTTCGAATTATTTCTGCAACTCAATAGATGAAAGTGTCAGCATGGACTTCTATAATTGGATCTAGTCTGCATGCAGTAATTATTCGTAAAAACTTGCAAGACGGCAACGTGGTGGCGCCGGCAGTCGAGGTTGGCGAAATTATATTCATATGCAAATGATCCTTTGCTTTTCAGCTAAAACCGAGCCAGCAGGAGTTGTTAGCCGATTTTGTATAGTCGAGAGAGCTCATCTCGAATTTTGATCTGCACGGCAACACTTCGGCAAAGTTTTGAATACAGAATCAAATAGAACGTTGCATCGACCAGCAGAGGATTTGAAGTCAGAGAGTTTGTAGTAACTTAAGCCAAGCAAGATTTGCGTAAATCGGTCGAGCAAAATGAAAAATATTTACAACATTACAATGCTCTACGAAGAACAGAAAATTTCTTGCAGCTTATGGTCTTCAAAGTCAGCGGATTTGGAGCTGAAAGCACCCAGATTCAAATTAATGTTTGGAGCTGAAAGCACCCAGATTCAAATTAGTCAATGATTTTCGAAATAGGCATCAAAATTTTTTGAAAAAATGAAAAATTAAAAGTGGTACGCGTTGCTCGTTTGTAAGGGATTTTCACTATTCCACAGAAACAAGAAAAAAATGAAATCGGGAATTGAAGGTAAAAGATCATAAAGCTTACCGGTTGTGTGAGCAGCAATCGCTCCGTCTCGACCCGGTCATGATTGTCCAGTGCTCGCATCAATGACGAGCCAGACATGCTTCTGCTATAACATTCACGAAACATTTTTGGGTCCGAAGTTCGGAAGTTAGCGCTCATGTGACGAGATTATATAAGCAGCACTTGCGCAAGCGATTTTACTAAGTGCTCAAGCACGTGGAGTAATCCATATTATTTGACAATCACAATCGCTTTGCACTAGGCGCGAATTCAATGACGACATTGGTAATTGCGCGAGTTTTTCTCAGGAACACCGGATGTGTACGCGATGTATAAACCGATGAAAAGAATGTCTAGTGCAGTAAAAGGACGAGGGACTCGAAGAGGTCGGATTCGAGAACTGACTCCAAAGTAAAATCACGGAAAGAAACGGGCAAAACGACTTGGGCACTTCCTTTTTTTTCTGGTAAAGTGCAAGTCAAAGTCATTCCAGTCAAAAAGTTATTCACAGATTGTCAAACAGGAACACTGCTTTGTCATTGCTTAACAAAATCGCCTAAGGCTTGAGTTACTTGTCAGCTAAAATTTAGAAATGTCTACTATACATTTTAGGATTTAATTGATTTCAAAGAATTTGAAATGGTTTTGCTGAAATCTATTTCTATGTTTATTTTTAAGCTACATCAGCCTTTATGTAGACATGTCTGAATATTATCACTACTGTAGGCTTTCCTTGCTTTGCTCTACCTCTCTTTATTTTCTCCTGACTATCGTTTTCTTGATTTTTTTGGAAAGGTGTCCCATACCTTTTTTCATTCTTTATTAATTTGCAAAATTACAGGGTAGAGGAAGAACTACTTTCAGCTTTCAGTTCAGCTATCCGAACATTAAGGCAGAATTTAGTAAAGCAGCATGATGGAACAGAAAGGAGGACCTCATGGGGAAAGTGAAAAAGTGAAAGAAATTGAAAACAAGCTGTTAGATTTAGCATGGTTCTCATACAACCTACATAATTTTACGGCTTTTATCAGCTAAGAAGACATTCGGCTGTTTTTTTAATCTTTTATTTCAAAACCATTTCATTTCAAAAAATTTATTGCACCTGAGAGATTGAAATATCTGGTATAAAAGAAACAAACGTGATTATACTCAAGTTCCTAATATTTTACAGTGTAAGATGATGGAAAATTCGCAGAAGTTCAATGTACCACTAGAATTTTGTACCAAAAGAGCTTATATTTCAAGGATGTAAGACAAGAAGCCAAGATTCAGCACTACGCATGTTGGCATATAGACTTTTTGAGATGTTGTGTACTTGCATGATCAAAGGCACCGATAGAATAAATAGAAGGATTATGAAGAGCTATCACCATACCTTGCATGATGATCTTCAATGTTGGGAATAAGAGCTTTTTAAAAAAATGATTGGTAGCTTTAGGTGCTGATAACGAATCATATCTTCAAGGATAAAGTATCATTATGTGGAGCCTACAGCCTTATTCTGGTAATACAGCCAGCCTAGCGCTAATTTTAAACAATTTTCCAAAAACACAATGGCTCAGAGATTCTGTTTCAAACTTTTGCGCAGAGCACTATGAATGAAGAGACAAGCAATAGTTGAGCTGATTAGAAGGAAATCCTTAACTTCATTCGGCGCCCTTTTGGGATAGCCTTTGCAATAGTCTGTTGATCTGTTTTCTCAAATTTGTTCTTACCTAACCCTCAATAGAAACAATTACCTTTGTTGCAAGAGCTATTTCGAAGTAGAACTAGACATGCTGCCTCACCAAAAAATCGCGAGCAGTTGATTTTTTTGCGCTCAAGAAAAATAAATCATTACATGCACATAGTTGTAGTGTTTAACACATGGACGACAATGTGACCTACATGGTGGGTCATGCAATGGCTGTCTCTTAGGACAATTTGACCCACATGATGGGTCAAAGCTTGAATTTCTTAACAATCTCTTCCCTTTGGTACAACTCAATTCCAATAGTTTTGTTAGGCGCTAAATCTAGAAATTACTTCCATGTTTTTCGGTATCTTCTCAGAGTTGCGCTAGATATACTGTAGATTATATTTTGCGCAATTTTAGATGAAAATTCTCAAGTTATTGATAAAAGGCTCTGTCTCAGAAGGCAAAACAAATGAAAATGCGCGTTGTCGTCAATGTGTTAACAGCTTCGCATCAGAGCGCATCTGAAACTCAAAATATTTTGAAAAATCTGTGACAAAGTTAAATTGCAAAACAACCTTAAACAAATTCAAGTGGTCAATTTTCAGTACAACTTTATAATCGACGGCGCTAGCTCGGCTTTTTTCTCAGAAAATCACCACCAAGTGCACTTTAGACCTGCCTCAGTCGTAAAGTCGATATCTTGCAAAAACGTCCTAGATTTTCTTTATCAATTTCCGCAAGTAAATCACAGAAATCTCTTTTTTTTTATCTATGCAGTACGATTTTGTCAGTGCATATAATATAATGCGATTTGATTGAGCACTAAAATGATGCTGAATGGAAAGATTGAGGAGAAAAGTCATAGAGTCAGCCAAAAGAATTTTATTGCAGGTAAGCTATGCTCGTTTAGCAGTCATACCAATGAGAATTGTTTAGCTTAATATCATAAAACCCACCTAGTAACGTAAAAATGTACTTTAGATAGTTCTCAATGAAGAAAGTGACAATCAGATTGAGCAATAAAGGAAATGCATTGAGCGTATGAAGGAGTCAAAGCTCTAAATTCACCTTGCGCGTTCCAGGCAACAAATCAATTCAAGCGGAAGTCTACACTTTAAGCGCGACAATGCGCTAGCTACTTCTACGATTGTGCTTCACATAAATTGCGGAGATAAACGTTTGATGACGTAATAGAAGAGAATTATGCTAGACTTCGTCGAAGATGAGTCTGTGGATAATCAACACAGCTGAGGCGGCGCATTGGCTTCCAGTTGCCCATAGCAACGGTCCTACAACTCCACTTTAGTAATTATTCACATGGTGCGACTTTGCTGATAAATTCTAGAAAAATACGCATTTGTGAATTTGATTAGTAGTTCACTTGATACTCAGCTAATCCCACTGGATAATGATGAATGAACGGTTAAAAACTTTTAATTGAATGTTGATTCAAATTATGATTTATAACGCCAAACTTTTTTCGTAGAAAACAGTTGCGCAATTTCAAGGCACCGTCCACCTAGATTCTTGACTTCCATGTTTTGATTGTTTCGGAGCCTTCTCATGTCCCTGATTCCGAATATGAAGTCGAGAATGCGCGAAAACACCGACAATCCCCGTTTCGGAGAACCCACAGGCCAGCTTTCTGGAACGATGGTTGGCTGAGGGCGCACGGATGGGCGGGCATGGATAAGGAGGGCGATTCCGGGAGATCTCGTGCATCTTCGTTATTCTGGAGCGATTTTCTCGCTTCCATAGCGACATTTTACGCTGCGACTTGAGCATCGGCTTAATAGGGGGCCCTAATATCATATGCTGATAAAGCTCAAGGACCCTCAACCTAGGGTGGACGTCCTGACAATTTGCCTTTTAGCACATTATCAGGATTTCCCAAACACTAACCATTTTTCACCATAGACGCTCCAGCTGCTAGCATTGTCCCTGTAGCTCAATCACTTGCCCCAAAGACGAGCTCAAGAGTCCGCGGTCAAACCGTGCAAGGCAAAAAAGGTATTCTCCATGTGAGAACATGTGGCATTGGCGGATTGAGAGGGAGAGACTCCCCTGAAAATGAATTTCAAAATTTGTTAGCATATATTGGCTACATCCTTTAATTCGACTGGCTTGGCGGCCTGAAGGCGAGGCTTTGTGACCTAAAAGGCTAGGTAATGATCAGAAAGCACACACACAACAGAGACGCAGACGTCGCGGGCGCGAGTTTCCTTAATTAGGTCACAAAGCTTCATCTTCCAGACGCCATGCTTGTTGAATCAAAGGTTATAAATTCGTGCAAGTGACTTGTTTTCACTAATAAATGATTTGAAATGTTTTATTTACATTCCTGAGATATCTTCGAAGGGTTCTGGATAACACCATGAGGCTTGTCGGAGAAAAAATTTTGTTCCCGCGTCCCGGAGAAACGTTTCCGTGACCGCCATTGGTGCAGGATTATTGCAAGTATGTAGTAAATATGTATGTATATATATGAATGATAAATATAAAAAGTATTACAAATAGCCACTTCAAGTGTTAATCAGTTACCTGATCCCACTGGTTGCGGGTGGCCCAAATATTTTTGGGGTATCTCTGAATGGACTTTTCCGTTTTAATAAATCTTTGGTATTAAAGTTTGTTGACTCTTGTGAATTTATTCTGGACTAGCTGGCATACTCGGCTCCGCCCGACCCTGTCATAACACTGTGTCAAAGGTCACTATCCCTATTCCCGTACAAACCTTTGCCTGCGCCCACTTCTACTTGCCGATTCCCTATCGCCCGTATTGTTTTCGCAGTCAGCATGCCTCCCCACTTATCCCCTGTGATTCCTGGCCCCATTGAGATCAGCTCAGCAGAAAATTCGATAAAATTGATGAAAGGTGCAGATAATTCTGAAAAATTGATATTGTATTCGTAATCAGCATGCTCGATTACCCCCTGTGCCGACTCCCAGCCCCATATATTAACTGTGCAAAAATCAATAATAACCGATAAAATCGATACCGATCGATGATGAAAAGCAGCCTATCAATCGCCGTGCTCCGAAGTGTATGTGTGCCAAGTTTGGTTCGGATCGGTTTAGAAATGAAAATTTCTATTCGGAACCTACGTACAAACAGACATAGCTGCGGTCCCCGGTCCCGCCCGGGCCGAGGGTCCAAAATGGCCCAGCATAGTGTGTGCTTCAAGATGTATGCTTACCATTCCTCCACTTCCTTCAGTTCATATTTTCTGTTCCTCTAATGCTCCAGCTCCGAGTCACTTCCACCACTCGTGTAGTATCCATAGTAAATTAGTCTTCCTTCTTGACCGGCTCGCTTCGTGACACCGCATGCTCCTCACCACAAAATGTAGATGATCTCTACCACCCCTTACTACTTAACTTGAAGAAATGAATGATATAGCTTTTATTTTCCTAGATTTTA